ATCCCCCCAAAAAAAAGGCACTTGTTTGTAATATATTTTTGAATGTGTTTTATTATTTTGACAAATATTGGAAAGTGTTTTGGCCATGAATATTTTATTTTTACATTTTTTTTCTTTTCTGAATTATTTTTAGAATACCCCTAAGCACATATAAATTTTTTAAAATCCATTTTTTTCACTACTTTTCAACTTCATTTGGATGTTTATTGTTTAATTATCCTTTAGATATGCTTTTCGCATTTTTTGGATTTATTTATTTATTTTAAGAAAGAAAACATAACAATTTGGGACCGGTCGGAGGCTGCCCGATTAAGCAGGGTGAATGGGCCGGTTTACCCGCTACTTGGACCCGGGCCTTGGCCGTTTTATGAGTCATGTTCAATTTGTCAAACACTGCTTTGTTGTGTATAAACAACAGTATTGGGTACTCATATCCAACATCTAGTTCTACTTATCCATAGATATTAGAACAATGGGAATAAGTTGCCTTCCATTTTTGGCCACTCTTTTTCTTTCTTTTTTTTTTTTCTTTATTTATTTATTTATTTAGTATTATGGTTTTTTCCCAACATTGTCCATTTTACAACTTTCCAAAGTTGGAATACTCCAAATAGTGTGGGATGTGAAAATACTAAACTTCCACCACGGTTTAAGATGTAACCCGTGATACAAAACTCGGTGGGCTGACTTTGGATCGGATTGTAGCAAATATGGAGGGAAAATGAGCTTTCCTACTATTTTTCTCAAAAGTTGGCTAGGGGTGGCAATGGGCCGGTGGTGTCGTCCAGACCTAAGACATTAGGCCGGCCTGGTTTTGCCCAACCAAGCTTAATAAGGCCAGGGTCGCTTTGGCCCAGTCTAGGCTAGGCCAGTCCTCTGGGGACTGGGCCAAGATAGGCCCAAGGTTAGCCCGGCTTGTTGTGAACCCTAAAGTTGGCCAAGTCTGGCTTCGACTCCACCTTTAATTCAACCATCTCTGAGCAATTAGGGCCCATGCAACTGTCTCAAATCACTTAAATCTAAGCACTCAAATAGAATCACTATCGGTTTTCTACTTTGCGTAGTCCTACACTCCTACTCATCTATTATATGCGAACATTGCCATATAACATTCTGATTATTATTTTTCTATTGTTTACTTTGCGCTTCGTTGATTCCACCTGTGGAAAGTGATAAGAAAAGGGCCATGGTGTATGTGTATTGTGTAAAAATTAATATCATTCAGCAAATCATAGGGGGAGGCGAACGCTGTTTTAAAAATTGGGAATGGTGAAGGTTCCCTTTTTAACGGCAATGTTAAGTTCAATTATTTGAACGAGGCCCCTTTCAAAAATCTATTCAAAGATGGATTTAAGATTAGGTTGTTTTAAATCATTTTTGAATAAGTGTATAGTCTCTATAGTTAGCAAGTCGGGACTATCAATAAATTGGCTTACAATAGAATTAGGAAAAAATTATTTTTATTTAAAAAAAATTGGATAAAAAAAATGGATTAGCAAAAATACTTTATGTAAAGATATCGCCAAT